GCATCCTTTCTTACCAAGATTGGTAGATTCTCCAAGACACGTTGTTTCCCTCAGTGTTTGCTTGTTGAAACTCACCTGTCATCTTTAAAATGAAATTAAGGCAGCTGAACATCAGACTCCTCCCCCCCCAAAAAACCACAAAAATATTATTTTTATCCCTTAACAACAGAAGCAAAACTAAGCAGTGTGGTTAACAATCCTCAAAAGTTGGCACTAAATCTAGGTCAGTGATTACTGTTGTTGTTTTTCCCTTAAACTGTTTATTGACATCTCTGACTGGAAAAGATCACCATTGGGATGGCTTCACTGTGGTTCTTAGAATTGTATCTTGCTTTTCATGGACAGCTAACTTTCTCTGTTGTTCATGCCATTACCAAGATCTGTGTGGGCAGAAATTTCACCAACGCTTTGAGACCAAGAAAATCACTAGGAGCAGCAGCAGCAGCAGCAGCAGCAGCAGCAGCAGCAGCAGCAGTTTAGATTAAAACCCAGAAGTTCAAGGAATGACTTCATATGTTGGTTTTTCTGGAGAGGATTTGCAAGCCGGTATGATCCTGTGAACTCCCTAGGTGATTCATGCCAAAGCAAGCAGTCTACCTTGTATCCTTCCATCATCATTACCTTCAACAAGGCAGTGTATTACTTAGCCAGGGTTCTGTTCTAGGCAGCCACCCAGCCTAAAGCTGGCAAGTGAAAGTCAATTGTGAGGCCAAATGTGGGCTCATGCTGCATTAAGCAGAGAACTAGGCAAAGGAAGGACAGATTCCCATCAGCTCCAGGCAGAAAAGCCAAAGACAAATGTTATGAACTCCAAAAGCATCTGAACGGCACCCTGCTACTTTCTTCTGTCTCAGCCATCGGCACCCTCCATATCTCATCATTTTTTTCTGAATGAAGGGTGGTAGAAGGAGATTTGCCCAGTGGGTGTGGCCAGTGGTGTCTATGAATTTCAGGTGGAAGCAGGAACCAGTACATGCACTTTAGCATCTTTTGCTCATAAATTGGTTGCCTTTATCCATTTTTAAATGATATTTTTAACTGAACATTTTAAAGGGAAAAAGGAAGGCAGAAAGAAACAGAAGCAAGGAGAAAAGAATAAAAACACAAAGTGAATAAACAAGAGATTTATAAGCATCACACAAGTAAGTAAATTAAGTACACATCCTGAGACTAAAGTTTAGATCTAAATATTTATATTTCCTATTCTAAACTGCTCATCTCCCTCAGAGATTTAAATATCCTACATCAAAATATCTTTATTAAAACTGATTAATGAAGTTAAAGGGAAAAATTAGTCATATCTTGTAAAAAATCTATTTAGATTGACAAAATCATCTTAAATAAGACAAGCCTAGACTTCAGATATGGTACAAGTCCATGGGTAGAATTATAGTCCAAACATAGTTTTCATATTAAATTTGGGGTCAGATTTATTTTTCAAATGTGAAGCTAACTTAGACAATGAAGCATACTGTATTTGCTCATTATCTGCTATAGGAACTGTATGCATTTTCTAATGAGAACTGTAAGGTACCCTAGATGCTGTTGGCATGTACAAAGATAACTCAGTATGCTCTGTAAAAATAAATTTTAGTAATATTTAATAGAAAGATTGCAAGTTAGAAAGGAAATTCAACTTTTAGAATGTTTCATTCTGTTATAGATCTTTTTGTAAATTTCTTGGGTTTTACTACATTGCCATTAATACAAGGGCAAGATCCAACCTGATTATTACTCTTTCCAGGCTTTTTTTTTTTTAGAAAATGTATTACCATTTTTAACAATCCATATTGGAGTGGTATATTATTTGCAATGCTTCATACCAGTTTTCTCTAAGTGTGATATTTACTATTTTTTTTATTCCACTGAAATTCCCGTTGTGTATATTGTTTTCGTGCTAAATCCATTTAATCATACAATTTTTAACTTGTTTTGTTTCCAAATCATATTTCCTTAGCCATTTTAAATAAGGCCCAGCAAATGTTCCAAATTTTGTATTACATAGTTTTCGAATTCAGTTGAATCTTGAAGCATTCAGCCCTTTTTTTCTTTTTTTTTTGTAATTCCTTTAGAACAATACTCTTTGGTCAAAGATGTTGGAACTGTCAGGTATTCCTGAGCATTCAGAAGACAACACAACTAAGTTAATCCATTGTAACAAAATTCATGTGTAGAAAACAAAATGGTATTTTCAGGTTGTGTAAGAAACAATATGCTGTAATATTTAAACAGGGAAAATAAAACCTCCGGTAGTTTTAAATCCTGGAACACTATGATTCCTTCCATTTATTTTGGCAAGAGAATTAGCAAGCAGCACATCTAAACAGACCATCAATCCAGAAAAGTTGGTTAGCTATATTTGTGATAATTTGTAAACTGATTTGAGTCTGATAGCTGTTATTATAGAATAGGGTTGTACAAGTACTCTAGACCCAGTTCCAAAACTGCTATGAAGAATGTAACACCTGTTTTTACTCTTTAAACCAGTTGTGGCTTTTCCAAACCATGTGTTCCCAGGAAAAGATGCAGTTGCTTTAAAGAGTTGTAGATAGGTGGTGCTGTACACTCCAAAGTTGACTTTGGTCAGAACAGTATGCACTACATTTTTCAGTATACTGTATATAGATTAGGTCACCAGTAGATATAATTGCATCAAACAAAAATAATGCATCTTCACTAAGGTCATTTAGATCACTTCCAGAATTGCAGCTAAAATAGCTCTTTCATTCCAAGTTTAATACAATGTGTATTTATTGCAAACAATAATATACAAAAGGATAAGTTTTACAGAGACCCAAAGGGTTTGCAAACAAAATGACTGAAAAACTGTTTTTATCTAAAACTAATCTTTTTGAAAGGACATTACTTAAGTTACAGAAATACTTTCAAGAGATCTGTTTTTTTAAATATAGTAGAAAAGATACCATATTATAAGAGTGCTTTAAGCTTTTCTTCTACTGAATTCCCTATAAAATAATTAACAAATATAACATTTTAAAATAAAAAAGTTAGCTAACTTTTTCCAAAAGCAGTATTTTAACTGTTTGGCCACAAGTTCACCAGTGTCACTTTCTCTAGTTTTCCTCCCAAATGAAGTGAAAGGCTGTCTGGTGGTTCCAGCAGCACCCATTCATTTCTCTGGCCCCTTCAAGAGACAGATAAATAATGGAAATGTGCCACTTCCTGCCTTGTTGGTTTACATTCACTGTTGCTTTGCATCACTAGGGCAGAATAAGCCTAGGCCTATCCAGACAAAAGAATAAACAGGTGGAACCTTAAGGCAATACGGTGGATTGGACCATTTTGGATAGCAATTTAGGGAATTTGTTAAATGTTCCTCCATGCAAAATGAAATCCCTGCAAGTCAGACATCCGCATGTAAAGGAAAGTTTGCTGATTGGCTTTAACTTGGGGAATTTTTCACAAACGAAAGAGTGGTTTAGTCCACTCTTACCTTCTGTGCTCACCACACTTTTGCATTAATTTAGTCCGATCCAAATCATGAGTCCAAAAGTATTCAGGCAGAAATAACTCAGTGATACACTAATTAGCCATGCTTTGTTTGTACAATGAGAAAAACAACAGAAAAAGCTTTCCAGTTTATTCTTACCAAAGAAATAGAAAAGATAGAAAGACAAATAGGAGCCAGGTATTTGTACAAACCTAAGACACATTCTGAAGCAATAATAAAATACAAAAAGACTGAGAGATAAATAAAATAAAGGGTTATTGATTTAAACCATAATTTAACAATTAGGCACCATATACCCTCTGAGTAAGATGCTGGTATTTCTGTTTACATTACAAAGATTTCTAATGTGGAAGGGGGGAATTGAAAAAAAAACCTCGATTAAAAACATCTTTTTCACAAAATAAATATATATAATTTTAAAAGAAGAAAAACCACCTACTACTGTCATCCATGAACTTTGCTAAAGCTGGTGTCCCTGTGTCATTCCCTTCTCCTTTTTTGTAAGCTGTCTTCATGGAATAAAGAATTCTAGTTTTTCATGCAATTTACAGGGAAGGCTCCTGGTTTTATGAGTGACCTCATTTGTCTCACAAATGTTGGCCTGGTGTTGGAAGCTGAAGAAAAGGGGTTAAGGTAGGGAATGCTGGTTCTGGCTTTCAAACTTGGTGCTTGTAGTTGCAAATAAAATAATAATAATTAAAAAGTTTCAGACCTTTAAAACTCTCTTCTTGGGAATTCCATATTTTCCCTTGGCAGGGGGAAAAATAATTGTGCAAGTCTTTTGGAAGATTTCACAGGATTTTTCTTTAAGGCGTCTGATAGTGTTACTTTAAGGCTCAAGGTATTCTTGCTTTTTCTTTAATTCTTTTTTTTTCTCAACATATTTTATTTCCATGCTAGAAAAATAAAAGTCTCTTTCCAAATTCCCACAATCATGTTAATGAGCACTTATTTCCTTCCCCCCAATTTTTTTCCTTGATTTTTAATGCACACATTTTAGTCTCTAAAAGTATCAGTTAGCTATAGAAAAATACCTCTGACAGCAGGGAAAAAAGCTAAGGCATAATCTTTTGCTAAGTGTGGTTCAACTGTCCCCCCCCCCCCCAAAAGGAAAAAGTAGTTTTTAAAAGTTTCTCTAAAAACAAGTACGTATAAATCCCATATTGGTAACAAATCATAAACAATACATACTAAAATATTTAAAATAGAGAATACTCCTCACAGAGGAATACTTTTGAGTTTAAATGTTTTCATTTTTTTTTGTTTTTAGTTATTGTTAAAAAATAATTAACAAGTTCATACCTATGCAAGCTAAGCTGGCTGTTTGAAGAAAATAAAAAACTGCCTTCAAATCAAAGGATTTAGTCCATCATGGAATGTTTCTTGACTGAGAATAATCTGGTCAGTTTTGAAGGGGTCTTGTAGTGCACAATGCATTTCTGAGATATTTTTTTTCCTCTCTTCCATTCATTTTTAGCTTAAAAAATGTTTTTATAAGTCTGGGGAATTGACACCATCCTTCAGAGCTTTATGGTCTGGTGAGCTGTGTATAGACTGGCTGTTCCCAGTGTTGTGGGCTATGGGTCTGAGGAATGGAAGGTACCCCCGTAGTGTCTGCAATTGGGGTGTACATGGGCCTCTGGGTGGGGTTCATGTAAGTGAATGTAGAATAGAGGCTGGAACTCTGGCTGGCAGCATGGCTGTAGTAAGTATTGGAGCTCTGATGGTCTGTGTAGTCATACTGGGAGCGAGTGATGGTCGGGTAGGAAGAGCCATAGTGCTGGAGATTGAAGGAACTGTAGCTGATCTGCTGAGGTGAATGCTGCTGTTGGTCAGTGTAATGACTGGGACTGAGCTGCTCGGTCTTAATATGTGTCCTCTGTTGAGGCTGACCTGGTTCACTACTCAGGGTGGTGAGTGTGTGCTGCTGCGGCGGTGGGGGTGGTGGTTGTGGCTGAGCTTGGGAGGGTGGCTGCTGAGAAGGCGGTGGTGGCTGCTGCTGCTGCTTGGACATCCAGACATGCCCAGTGCCTGCTGGAGTAGCTGTGGTGCTACTGATCCCGTAGCTGCCTGTGTAGGTGACTTGGCCAGGCTGGCCATGGGTGACTGGAACTCCTGGGTGGCCATTGGGTGGGAGATACTGGTCAAACTCATTAACATCAAAAGTCTCAATGTTAGATATGACATCACTGCTGAGTTCCCCAATGTCCACGTCTCGGAAGTCAATATGGGGTGGCTGTCTTCCTCCTTCTTGCAGTGGGCGACCTTCCCGCTTCAGGTCCTGCTTACCAGGCTGGACATCTGTTTTAGGAGTGGTAGGAGGAGTAGGTGGCCCTTGAGATTGCCCTGTAAGGAATACAAAGGAGATAGTAGTTGTTACAAAGGGAACAGGTTCTCTTTGATGCCTTTGAAGTCACATGGCAAGCAAGCCACACCTGGGCCTCTTTCCTTTCTGATAACAGGCACAGCCAGAGGGCCATAAAGCTCCCACCAGCGGCCACTTTTAATGAGCAGAAGGTGTTGCATGGCAGTGATAACTTAGCTAAAGATTAACTATGGCTGGTGCAAAGGAGATGATGGAGAGCTTGCCAATAAGAATGAAGTACCAATGCAGATTGTTGCATGTAGTTGAAAACTGGCTGCTTTATAAGGCCACAATAATAGGTGTTTATAGTTTATAAGGGGTGGTAACACACCAAGATGAAAACTAAGACTAGTACTACTGGTTGAATGGCTTAGCAAAGCAATGAATAACCTATGGCTATCTAATTCTCATCTGTTTCATGGGTAATATTATTTGAAGACCTGTCTAGTAGCTACACAAAAGCTATTGCTTTTTCCCAATAGCCATCTAGCTCTTTTGTGTTTCCTTGACAAACTGCTCCAGAAAAGCAACAGACTGGTAACTGGAGTATCTTACAGATAGTCTTCTTCAGAAGACTTGTCTACACGGGATGATCTTCCTCAACTTCTACAAGGAGGGGAAGATGGCACACTCACCAGAATGCTCTCCAGGTGAATGTACTTCACTCATGCTGGATGAAGACTGGGGCGAATCTGCCTGCAGGGCCTTGAAAATAGCATTCGGAGAGATGTGGGTCTGCTCCGATCCTTCTTCTTGCTCAGCCTGTCCATTCTTCACTGACTTTCTCCTTCGTGGCTGGTACTTGTAGTCTGGATGGTCTTTTTTATGTTGCACTCTCAAGCGTTCAGCCTCCTCCACAAATGGGCGTTTCTCGCTCTCATTCAATAACCTGAGCAATTAAACAAAGCCATGCATTGGCTGATTAAGTTCTACCCAAAGCTTAAGTTTCCTGATTTTACTACTTAGAGCACCTTTGCTTTGCTAGAAATTTACTCTACATTCTGCTGCTGCACCACTAGGCCAGCATCCCTGCAGGCAGCTGTCAGAAGCCCCAAACTTGGGTAAAATGAACTTCTGATAAAATGCAGAGGACAAAACATAAGGTGTATAAAATCCACCCTAAAACGGCAGGCATCCTGAAAGGCAACCTTTAGCCTTCTGCTATTCCCGCATAACCCTCTGGGTAGAAACACACTGCAAAGTTCTCCAAAGCCTCTTGGAAGAAAAAAAAAGATTCGGACCACTCCTTTCATTTTTTTCTCAGCAATTCTTTCAATCATTCTGGGGCCCTGCTCTCTTTCCCATAAGAAAGACCCACAGCAACCGGTCCTCTTTTCTCACCCCACTCAAATGCTGTGTAGACACATGCACATAAGCAATTTCAGCCACAGCTCAGATACCAGGATTCCTCTAGGCATTTGGGGAATTAACATCTAAATTCATCCCAAGCTTTCTTCATCCACAGAAGTGGCTCCCTTAGCCTTTTTTTACAAGTCATTAGCTTTATGCTTCAGCCAGCTGACTCACTTTCTCTTCTCTCCTGCCTCCCCACCCCACGTTTCTCTTGCTAGTCATCCTTCTGTGCCAACTTCTTATTGGTTGGCACTTGCTAATTTGTACCAATCATCATTACACCCAAGATGTGCTGCTCCTGTTTTTCTCCAGAGAAGGGCTCAAGTTATGTCAAGGGTTTAACTTTGTCATTTTTTAAAAACAGGTAGGCCAAATATCTAAACAGAGAAGACTTGCTAGACATATACAACATGCTTTTCAGAGTATTCTTCCTATATCTTAAGGAATATTTTTATATCTGTTCAGGGATATAAAAAGCCAGGCTTTCATGAAGCCTTGATCTTGTTGTCTTTCTAACGAGATTCCATGTCTAAAGCTTTCCCATCTTTTTCCTCAGTGGTTTCTCTTCTAACGCAGGGCTCTCATTCCATCTTTGTCCCTCCGCTCCGGCCCTAAACTAAAACTCGACTGGAGGAGGAGCAGGAGAAGAGGGCAAGGTTTCGCCCCAGATCCCCTTTTCGGAAAAAGCGAGTCTCCGGCAAAGCCCAGAGAACTCCTGTGCGCCTAGTGCTCGCCGCCTTCCTGCCCAGTTCCAGTCTCCTGCCATCAGATTAGAAAGTTGGCCTGCTGCGCTCAAGCCACGCACGATTTCGGCCCTTGCTCCTGCAAGGCATCCCTCGTGATCCCAAGCCGTGCCCAAAGGGGAGCCCAAACAGCCGCCGTAGCGCTCCTTCCCTTCGCCCTCGCTCTTCTCCGCCCCTCCCGCGCTCGGCCGGGCGAGTCTGCAAGCCTTCGCGCCCTTTCCTGGGAGCAGCCCCGAGCCGCTTCCTCCTCGGCTGCCCTCGCCCACCCGGGCGCCCCAGCCTGGCTTTTCTCTCTCTCTTCCCCCCCCCCCTTTACCTCCAGAGCTTCCCCAGCGTCTTGCTCAGCTCGGCGTTGTGCAGGTGCGGATACTGGTCTGCCAGCTTCCTCCGAGCCGCTTGAGCCCACACCATAAACGCGTTCATGGGGCGCTTGACGTGGGGCTTGTTCTTACTGGATCCGTTCACCCGGACGGGCATGGGCACCAGGGTCCAGTCGTAGCCCTTGAGGACCTGGCTGACGGCTTCTCGGATGCACACCGGGAACTTGTCCTCGTCGCTCTCCTTCTTCAGGTCCTGGTCGCTCTTGGGGAAGGTGTTCTCTTGGGGTCTCGTGTTCTCGGTGTCCGAGCCGGAGCCCGAAGGGCAGGGAGACCCCGCGGAATCCTCCGACATGGTCGGGCTGGGAGCGCCAGACAGACACTTTTCCTGCTCTTCGGTCATCTTCATGAAGGGGTCGAGGAGATTCATGCGAGAAAAAGGGCGGAAGCCAAAATATGAGCGGGCGGGGGGGGAATAAAAAAAATACCGAGGCGGAGGGGAGAGAGGGGTGGGGAGGAGACCGGGGAAGGGGGCTTAAACAAGCAGCAAGAGCGGCGCCTCTTTATAGACAGCTTGGAAGGAGGCGAGGAAAAGCCCCGCACGCGCCCAGGCCGAGCGTCTGTTTCGCTCGCTCGCGCCCGCGCGCGCGAAAAGCCGCGTCTTTGCAGAAACTCGGCTGACGGGCGCGCTGCTCCGAAGTCGCCGCTTGAGGAAAACGGGTCTCAGAAAGAAACGGACATGTGGACGAGCTGCCGCTCCCGTCCGAGGAAGCTTGGAAGCGGAGCTGGTGAGACGGCGGGCGAAGTTGAACGAGGTGGAGGGGGGAAAAATATTTTTTTTCCACCCCTTTTGAAAGAAGGGAGACGAATTCCTCAGCTGGTGGTGGTGGTGGGGGAAGCCAGGAGGCGGGGGGCGCGCAAAAAGTCGTAAGGCTCCCCGGATCGCCTACTTAAGGCTCAACTTCGGCTCTGCTAACGCTCACTGCGACTCTCTTTAATAAATACCTCTGCCTCTGCTATTTCGCCGTAGAAACGCCAATGGCAGCCCTTGCTGGGAAGGGCTGGCACGCCGTTGATTGGCTGACAAAGTTTTTTCCTTCCTCTGGAGAAGGAGGGGGGCGCCGAGGCGAAGGGAGGGGGCGGGAGAGAGGAAAAGTTGGTCGCACGCTGCAGTTGAGTCTTTGTACTTCCAACTGTTGCGATAGTTGCGATACCTCCGAGTAGATTTCTCCTTGCCTTTTTCTCTCTATCGACTGAAGCAGATCTCTGGGATTGCTTGCAGGGGGAAGGAAGGGCTTGACATCTCTAGCACACGTCTCGCTTCAACTAAAACGGAGCAGCAAAACCCACTCTCCCGTTTGCTCGGAGAAAGAACTTAGTTCGTTCTGTCTCTCACCTTTCTCCTCTTCCTCCTCCTCTTCCTCCCCCCTCCCCAGTCAGTGTTTTGTGACTCACTTCTCCTGTGGGAGGGTTTTGTTTTGATTTTGCTCATCTTAATACTTCACTCGTGCTGAAAAGTTTCAAGGCGAAGAAGGAGGCGACGCGCTAAGCTGCCGTTCACGGGACGGGGGGGGCTATGGTGGGGGGGGGCGTGAGAGGAAGAAAATCGAGCTAGATACTTCTTAAGTAAGGCGACGTTTTTCTAGTCATTTAGCATAACCTTTTAAACAAGCGGTTAGCATTTAAAGCCTCCTATCCTGCTTTGTGCAAGTAAGGTTAATGGCCCCTTTTCTTTTTTAAAATTACTGTTTAAATGACAGCTCAATCTTCCCTAAACGATGTTATCAAAAATGTTCTCTTATATGACAAGACTTCCCTTTCAGACTGTGTTGACTAAGCATTTGTAAAGTAAAAAAAAAAAAGGTTTATCTAAGGTTAGACTTCTGATTTAACGTGGGAATTAACCTTCCTTTGGATCCAGTAGGACTGAGTTAAACGGCACAGAGCGCGGACTGCAAACTTTTATGAAATGGGAAAAGAATAGCTTGCAAAGGGGGATACATCATAATCAGAGGCGCAGTTATTTCTTCTTTAAGCTAAGTCCTTTCTATTGAAGATCTGAGTTTACTTGTTGAACGTATTGACAAACTTCAGGCCTATGTATATCTCTCTCATACTCTTCCCCCTCACATCCTTCCCTAAAAGAGGCCAACATTTTTACTAAATTAGTTTTAAAAGTCGTCGCTGATTTCAGAGGTTCCTACTGAATGGGTATCTGTAATGCGTGAATTTGTGAACTTTTAAAATTAAGATTTAATCCCCGGAATCTCGAGTCGTTTTTAATGTTCCTTTTTCTTCTAAAAGTAATTGAGGCAGAGGAGGAAAAGTATGCCACTGAACAGACGATTAAGTTGTCAGTACAGGGTCCGGGAAACTGAGGCGAAAGAGTAAAACCAAGCAGTCAAGATGGCTAGAAAGAAACCGGGTGCACTGGGTGATGGATTGGCCTCTTGATATAATCGCCCCTTCATCGGAAGACAACGATGGCAAGGTCTTTTAGGGAGCCCATCGGCGATGGGCGCTTCCCGCATTGTCAATTCTTTAAATCATTAGCTGTCATGTTGCCTTGCCTGGGAGGAGAGGCGCCTTTCCTTGGCTTGGCTTGCGCTTTTTCCACTCTCCTTTCAGTCTCGTTTTTCTTCTTCTTGGAATTTAACAGTTATTTCTATACAGTATAAACAATTCACCTTTGCGGCAGATAACGTGTAATTCCCACTTCCATCCAGAGGGGGCGCCATAGGCTCAGAAACTAACCGCCCTGATGCTTTAAGTTAAAAGATGTTTCTTGAAGGTTGTTAAAAGCGCGCACACGCACACTGGTACGTATGCAGAGCACGCCCCACCCTCCCGCGCACACTAAAACGCGGATTAAGTCTCTGGCGATTTCATCAGTCAGCCTTCAATCTCATATATTTTCCTTTGCCCGGTTAGTGATTCAAGAACGAAATTAATGAAATCATTATAGTCAATGCAAATGATAAACCTATCAAAGGGCTTTAGAATAACAGGGTAGTTCTTGTTTTTAAAAAGATTTACAAAGGTGGCAGTGGCGCTTATGCGGAGATCAGACCTTCCCCCTCGCTCCTACTGCTTCAAATCACTTCTCCGCTTCCACCTCCCAGAATTTTCCCAGATGTGCAATAACTGCTTCTTTTGCATTATCATCCATTTACCATATAAGGCTGCAACGTAGGTATGCGCAATATTGATGTACAATCGCGCATCAGTAGGAAATATGGGAGACACGCGGGGTCCTCGGTGGAGACGGCCGTACTTAACCTCGGAGTAAATCTCAGTGAAGAAACTGGGGAAATGATTCTGACGAAACGCAGCACAATAATAAGGTGGAAAATGTTTAGCTGACCTCGGTGGGTCTCACTTGCCAGAATAGATGGTGAAGTATCACATAGTTTAATGAAGAGAAGGACGAGGGGGGACATGATAGCAGTGTTCCAATATCTCAGGGGCTGCCACAGAGAAGAGAGAGTCAAGCTATTCTCCAAAGCGCCTGAAGGCAGGACAAGAAGCAGCAGATAGAAATTAATCAAGGAGAGAAGCAACCTCGAACTAAGGAGAAACTTCCTGACAGAACAATTAACCAGTGGAACAACCTGACTCCAGGAGCGGTGAATGCCCCAACACTGGAAGTTTTGAAGAAGAGACTGAAAAGCCATTTGTATGAAATGGTACAGAGTTTCTTGCCTGAGCAGAGAGTTGGACTAGATGACCTCCAAGGTCCCTTCCAACTTTATTATTATTATTATTAGATATGTGTCTCTCCCCGAATTATTTGAAGGAAAGACATTTTAAAAATCCAATCCCTAACGGTTGCCAAAAGATGCTTATGCATTCTCCCTACCTCAGTGCGCAAAGTGAGGCGAGGGTGAAAGGAATACGCGCAGCCATTTCCCCCAATGCGGAGAGAAGAGGGCGAAGGAACGGGTGAAGCAACTGTCTGCCCGCAATTTGCCTGCAGATCTTAACTTCTCCCAACTTGAATCAACCCGGGGACGTTTCAACCGGATTTTTCTTAAGAGGGGTGCTCCGTTTCAAAACGCTGCACTCTAAGCTGAGATTGTCCTGGTTAGCTAATTCGTTTCACAGACTGCAGAAGTTGGTTTCTTAGGTGCATATTTTTTTTTTTAAAAAAATAAAAGTCATTTCACACGATCGTATGATTAGAGTATCACAATTCCCATTGTAATATGATCGTCATTAACACCAATACAGGGGAATAGGAAAGAGGTTGTCCTGTTTGAGCGTCCTGTCCGCTGTTTGATCTGCGCTCTGTTCTTCGCTCCATGTCCAAACTGGGGCGAGAGTTTACTTAAGTTCCAAGTTTAAAGAGAAAAAAAAAATATCGCCGTAAAAGGGGGGCTGCTCCTTGCAAAGGCGATCTGCATTGACTTCGCGGCCTTTCTGATGAATCCGCGCGCAGTTCCAACTCCCAATTGTCTGCCTCGGAGCTCGGTTTCTCCTTTCCCCTCCACCCCTGTAGCTTTTGTGCTGCTCTAGATCGTTCCCAAAGGCCACTTGTATTTAGGAGAAATTTGTGTTTTTATCTCATCGCGGACTGAATGACCCTAATACCCGACTGGATATTCTAGATGGAAAAAAAAATGTTTTAAAAGGATTGAGGTACAGAATATACATTGTTGAGAGCTGTTTCTTTAACCACCACGCCAATATAGTAGTGTCTCCCCGCCCCCAATATATTTAACAATAATTAGCGGGGGGGGGGGGGGAGAGTTAACCGATCAATAAGGAGTTAGCCGAGGAAAGGGAGAAGCTGTCGCTTTGTATATTTTTTGCAACATTTAACAGTATATTTCATTCCCTAGTTCAGAGGGAAATAAATGATATATTTGGCATCATATTTGCCAGCGATTAATTATTGCATTCGGTTTAAATCTTAGTCTCTCTTAATTCCCGATGGCATTTAGGAGTAACTTGTTTTTGTTATAAGTCTGGGGCACAAACACTTTCCTTTAACGGAGAAGATGGTTGTGAGACTGGAAGGAAGAATTATTGTTCAGGGCTTCTTCGGCGGGGCAAAAAGCTTCACTTTTGTCAAACTAAAACCATTTCTTTCTTCTTTCCCTCCATCCTCCGGAAAACAAAACGTAAAAATAAAAAAAAATCAGGCTTTGTCGAAAATTAAGAGATCGGGAAAACCAGGTGGCTTTGCACGTTTATGCCGAATAGGCAGGAATAAACAAAAACAAAATGTTTCGTTGGATGACGTTATGAGAAGCAATCAACTAAGTAAGGCTAACGTTCTTCGTTCTAAAATATCAGTTGCCCCAAAGCAGAAACAATATTATCGCGGTCACATCTCCACCCCTGTCTATGGGTCTATATTTGTATCCACCCATAAACTTCATTTTAATAAGATTGAGGGATAATACTAACAATAAAAACGGGCGTTGGAATCATACGCTATACCAATTCGATAGAGAGAGAGGTCATGTAGACCGTGCCTTATATTTGGATGTCCCGATGGGTGCGGAAATTGATCGCAACGGCTGTTCTCTTTTGATTCTCCCCCTTTTATTCCCATGTTTTTAAAGCCAATTTGGAAATAAGGGGAAAGTATCAAAAGAGTTTTCTGAGAAGTTGCATTTTCAAAAAAGCGGCGCGGGGGGAGGAGGGGGCGGGCGGCTTTACCCTCGACCGCACTGCTACCCTAAAGTTTTCGGAGCGCTTCTCTGCCGCGCTACCGGGGGTCGAGAGGGATCTCCGGGTGCAGATCAGGCGAACAAGGTCCAAGCGGGCCGCGGTCGCTAGAGGCAAACCCGACGCCGTCTTGGTGGGGGTCCCTGCGAAGTGTTACAAGTTCGCATCCCGGGCTACGTTACGAGCTCGTTTCTGGAGTTACTTGCAGGGTTTGCAAGTCCAGCTGCCTCCTCATTCACACACACACACACCCCGCCCCGCCGCCTCCTTCCCTCCCCCTCGATTCCCCAAAACTTTTTTTTTGCAAGGCGTCCCGCTCTTTGCCTTGGGCGCGCTGAGCGTTCGGGCCCCCGAGCTGCTGTTTGCAAAGCGTGATGTCACCCGCGAACCTGCGGTGACGAAGCGGCGAGAAGGTTTGAAGCAAAAGAGAGTCAGACAGCCGGCCGGCGCTGGGGAGGGGGGGGAGAGAAGGGGGGGAGAAGAGGGGAGGCGGGGGGACACAACCGCGAAGAGAGGCGCGAGGAAAGTTTTTGGTGGGGCGATGCCGGTGGGGAGCTGGGGGCTCTCTGAGCCGCCGCGGAAGGAAACCTGATTTTTCTAAGGACTGTAGTAGCCACTGCTCTGAGACATCAAAGGCAGGAGCCCCCCTCCCCTCTATTTTAGCGGCGCGCTGGAAGCCGTTTCGAAACACACGCACACACACGCAGGGCACACAATGGGGAGAGGACCCTGCATTTTGCTTTATGCACATCTCGCCCAACTAACGAATTTCGCCACCACCAACCCCACCACCCAGAAAAACACCCCGGACATAAAATAATACCCTTTTATTTCCTCTAGTGTTTGCAAATCCACTTTTAAATAAAATATATGATAGGGCTATTTTTTTGTTTCTTATTGGAAAAGCTCGCCTTTAATCCGTTCAATTGCTTTTTATCAAAGGCATTTTACCCAGGTCAGTTCCTTTTATAATGTTTTATTTATTCCACCCACCCCAGGGAAGATGCTGCCTAGAAATACTGGAGGGAAATTCAAGGGCTGTGATTGACTTGTGCGCAGAGGAAATTTTTTAAAGGTTTCCAAGAAGGGGGTACTATTTCTATTAGATACTTTTAATAGTTCCAAATTAAGAAGGTTACAGAAGGGGAATATATTGTACATCCTAATCTCCCTCGTTCCCCTGTTTCTGAAGAAGAAGAAGAAGAAGAAGAAGAAGAAGAAGAAGAAGAAGAAGAAGAAGAAGAAGAAGAAGAAGAAGAAGAAGAAGAAGAAGAAGAAGAAGAAGAAGAAGAAGAAGAAGAAGAAGAAGAAGAAGAAGAAGAAGAAGAAGAAGAAGAAGAAGAACGAAGAAGAAGAAGAAGAAGAAGAAGAAGAAGAAGAAGAAGAAGAAGAAGAAGAAGAAGAAGAAGAAGAAGAAGAAGAAGAAGAAGAAGAAGAAGAAGAAGAAGAAGAAGAAGAAGAAGAAGAAGAAGAAGAAGGGCACATATTTGTTCCAGTTTCTCCGGAAAAAGGAGCAAGAGCTAAAATCTTTCTTGAAACTGAGGAACCACTGTTGTGCTTTTCATAGTTGACACCATTATAAACAGAACTGACTCCAGTTTTAATAGGCAGTGGCAAGAAGCTCAGCCTTATATCTTGCCAGCCATCAGAGAGATAGACAGTGAGTGAGCAAGTGCTCTTTGTGTTTTGCTATAGTGAAGAAAATTTGGCTGCCTGGTGTTGCTAGACTTATAGAAATTACCTATTATAGAATGATTTTTTTTCCTGCTCAGCCTTTGTTTGGCTGAGCTTCAAGTAGAGTTCCTTAAGTTCAGCTCTGGCTAATCAAAAGGGTAAAGACACCTTCAAGTCAAGTTTTACATCTGATGACTAATAATGTTGTATATAGTATGCTTAAAGGTGTGTTATGCATGTGTACACTTTGAGAGCCAGCAACTACATTTCGTTTTTAATGTGTGCCATTGTGCCCACAATAAAAAATGACAATAAAGGTTATCTATCTATCTAATTGTGGGAGAAATCAAAGGGTGATCACAGAGACATCAGAAATCAACTGATCTCTGGATGACGGGCAGTAAGCTGCCAACAGTTTTTGACTATCCATAGTTTAACATTTAATAGTTAATAGGAATTTAATTATAGGAATAATTTTAAAATTGATATTTTTTTAAAAAAAACATTGCAATGCTTTATATTCACTGTCATCCCCCTATTCCTGACATTTCCCTTTCTCCCCCTGTTTTAAATGGTTGTCTTTGACCAGGCCTGGCTTTAATAGCTATTTCAAGAGATTAGTGTTCAAATTCTGAATCAAGAGCAATGATTTCTTGGACCACTGTGTGTATAATAAGCCTATTGGTGGAGTAGGGTGAGCCATTGACTCATCTGTCTTCTGTTGTTGTTCCATTTAACTTTAATTGGAGTTTAACTTGGAGTTTCTACCTGTTGCACACTACAAAGTGCAACTTTGTCCACTTCGGATTTAAACTTGCAAGTTCCATTATGTGGAGTATTTGTTTCCCATCCATTGTGGCTACTTGTCCTGCAAGGCCTGAAAGTCTAGCTCCGTCATAATATCCATTACCACAAGTTTGACAATATAGCAAACGTGATTTTTTTTTGTTTATTTTGCATTTTGGTGTAGAAATTAGGGAGTAATGATTTATGGTTACCCGATTTGTACATGTACATGCACATGTACATATACATATATGCATGTGTGCCTACCTATGCAATACATACTATGTTTAGGTATTCTCAAAAGCTGCCCAAGGAGGCAGATTCTGAATGTAAGAAAATTAGCAAAGTGGAATAATTTAGGATTTTGAATTTACTTACAGAAA